TCACTCACCAATTTGACCGGAGATTAATGTGTATCATACTCAGAAAACCTCACTTTAACTAAATCTATGAAAATAATGCTGGCCAGAATTACACACAAATCTAGAGAGCTTATCTGATGTTCCTGGAGCTGTCTTGTCCAGTCGTCTGATATCTCAAGTTATGCAGGAATGCACATCCACCAATTTCGCCTCCTATTTGAGAGGTGTCAACACAATTTTAACCTCTAGAGCACGAAAGATTCTTCCCATTACACCAACGTTTGTACAAAATTCAAAACCAAGATGGCGAGTCCTGCGCAGGCGCAGCTTCCCATTTTCGATTACATAAATTTTAAATACAGTATGGCCATCTATTTACATATAACTACTGTATTTCTGGAAAATATATACAGTATTTTCCACAGATGGTATGAGACTCATCAGTTGGTATGAGACTCATCAGCTGGTATGAGACTCATCAGCTGGTATGCAACTCATCAGCTGGTATGAGACTCATCAGTTGGTATGAGAGTCATCAGCTGATATGAGACTCATCAACTGGTATGAAACTCATCAGCTGGTATGAGACTCATCAGCTGGTATGAGGTGGTCCTTAAACCAGCGAACTTATGGTAGTTGCAGTTATTCAAACTGTGTCTTTCTATACTCAATAACATATAAATAAATATATGCCATGGCTATTAAGATGAACTTGCCGAATAGGCCGAACTCCCTTTGTGATGTAGTTCAGCTGGGCTTGTGAGGTCTCTGGGGAGACCTAATTTAACCAATTATATGGTCACACCTTGCCTTGGCAAACGTCTGTAGCCACGCCCACGTCTGAGGTCTTTTGTTCTTGACGGCGTCAGACCTAGGCGTCAGGTTGTACACGTGGTTGTGGAGGGTGCTGGGACCACCATAAAAGCCCAAGGAAGAGCATGATCAGGAGATTCGAGCGGAGCTGCTGCTGGGGTGCAGAGCTCCTGAGCAGAGATTCGAGCGGAGCTGCTGCTGGGGTGCAGAGCTCCTGAGCAGAGACTTCGAGCGGAGCTGCTGCTGGGGAGCAGGGCTCGGGAGAAGGCTGCTGAAGTCTCTGGAGGAGACTGTTGGAGGTATTGGGCAGAGTACTGGCTTGGCGCAGTACTCGTGCTGTGTAGGTCTTGGGACCTGTGGCTTAGTTCCTGTAGTGAACTGTCCTCTGTACTATATTGTAAGTTATATTCATTCTCGTCAAGTTGATTGTGTTCCCTGTCTCACTGCTTATACATACCATCCCATTTATCTAAACCACAATAATGTTCTCCTGTTCCCAAATATATTATTGTACAAAGAATTAATAATAAACTGTGTTTGAGTAGAATAGTAATATTCACTGTCCCCGTTATTTGCTATTCCTATTTCTTATATTTTATTATGTTTATATATGAGTGAAGAGTGGGCGAGGCATATGTTAGTGAGTAGTGTCGAGTTAATGAGAGTGTCGTGGTGGTCACCACTGACCTGTCATTACCTACCTCCGCTAATCATCTCACTCCTACCACCTCGCCTGCCTCTCCCCTGCCTACATAATCCCTTACTCCCATATTCCCCACTTATATCCTATTCATTCCAATACCTCCCTACATGACACCTTAAAAAATTGATTTATCCCCAAAAGTTAGTTACAGATTAATATTTTTTTTAAGTAACAATAATATAAAATGTTTTAGCGATAAAGATAGACACATGTGTAACACGACTCAAGAAATCGTAATGACACGATTGCAAACAAACCATGGTTTGTTTGCAATCGTGTCATTACGATTTCTTGAGTCATGTTGACGGCAGTGAAGGGACTTGAGCTAGAGTTCGTCACGGCCACGCTAGCTGGAGATTCGTCTGTAAAAACTTGCATTTGTGGTCACAGAGGTGCCTGTGCTAACTTTCCTATGGTGTAGAAATATACCTAGTTGGATGAATCTTATTGTGACTAGCTGGTCTAGTGGCTAACGCGACGGGCTGGAGTTTTGAGACTCTATGACCGCGGGTTCAATCCCGGCCGGGGGTATGGTTTATGTGTAACACATGGGTATTAGTCAGTTTCTCGGGGTTGTATTATCATTAATTTTATGAGACCTGAGTGATAAGCCGAGGTAGAAGTCGTACCTCGCACCGTCGACACTACCAAGTGCAACAACATCAACAATTGTACATACAACGAAGAAGAGTTACAAAACATATGTTTCAGAGACGTTCTAGGATATATTTTAGCCATAATTTGAATGACTTGTCTTTACTTTTGCGATAGGAATACCTGGAGTAACAGTTTTAACCCGTAAACAGTCCAAGCAGATCTACGTCCACATGTGTAGTCCTATAAAAGTAGATCTACGTTTTTTTTTTTACATATTTTCAAATATAACAAAAAAAAAGTAGATCAAAGTTTTTTACACATTTTCAAATGTAAAAAAAACAAAAAGAAGATCTACTTTTTTTACATACTTTCAAATGTTGAAAAAACGTATATATACGTATATAAACGTCAGACAAGGAAGTGACGTCACTGGATGTAAGAGATAAAGTATAAAACCTATGAGGCGGCCTCAGTGAGTCAGTGTGACACTACAATCCATCGAGTGAGGTATAACTCTGAAGTACTGCTCAAGTAAGTTATAATTTACAGAGGTATCAGACCGACGCAATCACTGCTCTATTGTCATTTAAACTTGTGTAAATATTTACTATTAATACCCGTTATGTGGGCTTATCCTAGACCATTTACACATGTATTATACTTGTATTTATATGCATCTGTGACCAAATAGTTGTGCAGAAAGGTATAAAATACCGACAATATGAAAGTTTAGACACATGTGCAGCATCTGGATATCTTTATTGTAGACGTTTCGCCATCCAGTGGCTTTATCAATACAGATTCTAGGACATAATTAGAAGACAGTAGAACTATATACAAAAGATGAGGTAATCAGTCCCTCAACCTTGGAGTTAGTGTTCACAGCTCCAGATTCTCCACCACCACGATGCTGTGAACACTAACTCCAAGGCTGAGGGACTGATTACCTCATCTTTTGTATATAGTTCTACTGTCTTCTAATTATGTCCTAGAATCTGTATTGATAAAGCCACTGGATGGCGAAACGTTTACAATAAAGATATCCGGATGTTGCACATGTGTCTCGACTAAATAGTTACTTTCTTGGAAAAATACATCTGTCGAGAAGAAACTACTAAATTAAAAATTAATCTGCTTTAGCAAAATACATCAGTCAAACTCGTGTTTCACAGTATTATATTTTTAATATATTTATTGCGAAAATAATATTTTCATATTCCAATAAAACACAAACACACACAAGAAAGGTTAAGGGAAATCGGCCTGACGACACTGGAGGACAGGAGGATTAGGGAAGACATGACAACGACATACAAAATGCTGCGTGGAATAGACAAGGTGGACAGACAGGATGTTCCAGAGATGGGACACAGAAACAAAGGGTCACTCTTGGAAGATGAAGATTCAGATGAGTCAAAGGGATGTTAGGAAGCATTTCTTCAGTCATAGAGTTGTCAGGAAGTGGAATAGTCTGGCGAGTGATGTAGTGGAGGCAGGAACCATGCATACCTGGAGTTTACCTGGAGAGAGTTCCGGGGGTCAACGCCCCCGCGGCCCGGTCTGTGACCAGGCCTCCTGGTGGATCAGAGCCTGATCAACCAGGCTGTTGCTGCTGGCTGCACGCAAACCAACGTACGAGCCACAGCCCGGCTGATCAGGAACTGACTTTAGGTGCTTGTCCAGTGCCAGCTTGAAGACTGCCAGGGGTCTGTTGGTAATTCCCCTTATGTGTGCTGGGAGGCAGTTGAACAGTCTCGGGCCCCTGACACTTATTGTATGGTCTCTTAAGGTGCTAGTGACACCCCTGCTTTTCATTGGGGGATGGTGCATCGTCTGCCAAGTCTTTTGCTTTCGTAGTGAGTGATTTTCGTGTGCAAGTTCGGTACTAGTCCCTCTAGGATTTTCCAGGTGTATATAATCATGTATCTCTCCTCCTGCGTTCCAGGGAATACAGGTTTAGGAACCTCAAGCGCTCCCAGTAATTGAGGTGTTTTATCTCCGTTATGCGCGCCGTGAAAGTTCTCTGTACATTTTCTAGGTCGGCAATTTCACCTGCCTTGAAAGGTGCTGTTAGTGTGCAGCAATACTCCAGCCTAGATAGAACAAGTGACCTGAAGAGTGTCATCATGGGCTTGGCCTCCCTAGTTTTGAAGGTTTCTCATTATCCATCCTGTATTTTTCTAGCCGGATGCGATTGATACAATGTTATGGTCCTTGAAGGTGAGATCCTCAACATGATCACTCCCAGGTCTTTGACGTTGGTGTTTCGTCTCTATTTTGTGGCACAGAATTTGTTTTGTACTTGATGAAGATGTTAATTTTCCTCATGGTTTACAATATTGAGTAATTGAATTTCGCATCGTATGATAAAGCTTAGGGAGCAGGGGAGAAGAGGACATAGTTGCGTTGGTGAAGAGGCGGGGAGGCAGGAGTGAGGCTCGACCCCTGCAACCACAACCTTGCCACATTGGCAATGAAAAATGGTTATTGGTCAGGAAGGCTATGGAGGGAGGGGCCAGACGAAGGTTATAATACGTCTAGGAGGCGTCAAGAAGGCCGGCTGGGGGACAGAACGTTCGCGGGTGACAAGGCAAAACTCGCGCTGAGACCCAATCAAACTTTGTATTTTTTAATTGCATTACCTACAGAATATCCATTCTCTGGAATGTACATCAATGGCATGCAACCATATGCCCATGTCTTTTTAATACCACTAGTGCTTAATGTTTATCTGTTAGGAATGCTAAGTTAATCGTAAGTTAATTTTATGGCCTGCGCATTATGCTCTGCAAACAAGGGGCTTGCATGCTGCAGTTAAATTGTTCTTTTGTACTTTTCTGCATCATGTTCAGATATAAATAAATAAATAAATAAATAAATAAATAAGGAAATTCCAAGACCGTGATGTTGGCAGTGTTTAAGCGCTGGTTAAACAGTTCATTCACTATAGTGTGCAAGTTAGCTTAAACTGAATCCCATGTATATCATATATACCACCATTCTTAATCCCATATATACCACCATACTAAGACCCAAATATACCAGGAGACAATGTCTAGCACCGCATCACGTAGCATTAGTGATCCGTATTCACGTTACTGTGAAATTATAGACATATAGAGTTATGCCTACATCGTGAATTATTGTATTCAACATATATTATTGTATTCTACATATATTATTGTATTCAACATGATATATTATTGTATTCAACAGGATGGGTATCACCGTGAGCGTGGAGAGCGGCACAAAAACCCAGGAGAACAAGGTTCAAACCTGTGAAAGCATACAGGTGAACCCCACTACAACGAAGACTATCACCAAGGAAGAGAAGGAGATACAGCATACCGCTACCACAAAGGTAACTCTCACGGGCACCTCTGTAGTCTCGTGCACCACCCATTACTTCACACTGTGAGTTAAATAAATTTCTTAAATTCTCAGTGTGGCGACATCTTATTTATCTGTTATCCTTTCTGAGTAACAGATTGGCGTGGAGGTAGACGAACAAGCACTCGCCATAATGGGAACTAACATGCTCTGCGGTGGCACGGGGATGGGCAAACTAGCCCTCACCACGATGGGAACTAACATGCTCGGCAGTGGCACGGGGATGGGCAAACTAGCCCTCCCATGATGGAAACTGACATGCTCTGCGTAGATATAGGCTTATGACAATGATTCCGGCTATAGTAATATTATACTGCTCTCAGGATTCCCAGTATTATGGCGCGCGACACACACACACACACACACAACACACACACACCACACACACACACACCCACCACACACACACACACACACACACACTTGATTAAAGCACGTCAAGAAACTAGAGAAAAGTACAAAGGTTTGCGACAAGGTTTAGTTCAGTGAGCATTAAGGGAAATGTCCTATGAAGAAAGATTAAGGGAAATCGGCCTGCGACGCTGGAGGACAGGAGGGTCCGGGGAGACATGTGATAACGACATATAAAATACTGGTGGAATAGACAAGGTGGACAAAGACAGGATGTTCAGGGAGGGGACACAGAAACAAGAGCCACAATTGAAGTTGAAGACACAAATGAGTCAGAGGAGATAGTAGGAAGATTTCTTCAGTATTGTGTTGTAAGGCAGTGGAATAGCCTAGAAAATGGGGCGTAGTGGAGCAGGAACCATTACACAGTGATAGACGAGGTTTTGATAAAGCTCATGGAGCGGGGAGGAGAGGAGGCCAGTTGCAACCGGTGGATGAGGCGGGGCCTGGAGCTAGATCGACCCCGCAACCACAATAGGTGAGCACAAATAGGTGAGTACACACACTCAACACACACAAACACACACACACACACATACACACACACGACACATCAGCGAAGAGGCGGTTGCCAGGAGCTCTGACTCGACCCCTGCAACCACCCAAATAGGTGAGACACAAATGAAGCCTTCTTTCATAATCATTGCTTTGTTATTTTTGTTATTATTATTGTTATAACTTTTTGTTATTATTATTATTATTATTATTATTATTATTATTTTATTATTATATATTACTATTATTTTTTGTGTTAAATCATCGGGTTACAAGTGCCGGGGGAATCCAGAGGTAATCTTTATGATTCATTGATCTGTTCCTTGCTCTCTCGCCTCTCGCCCCCAGGCACTTCTTCTAGCATCAGGGCTAAGTTTGAAGGCTGATGGCGAAGAGCTCTGATCCAGGAACTGGGCGACACTACCCTCCCTGTCCTCGGATTTCAAACCTGGTTACCTTCTCTTGCTTCCGCATTCTGTACGACCCCTACAGGCTTAGAGCTCCATAAAATTCGAATAAATTAATAATAATACTATTAATAATAATTAATAATAATAATTAACAGGTAATATAATAATAATAATAATAATAATAATAATAATTAATTAATAATAACAGTAATAATAATTATAATAACATTAATAATAATAATAATAATAATAATAATAATAATAATAATTATAATACTAATAATATACAAATATTAACTGTTTAATTAAAATTGTATTTCGTTAATTATATTTCAATAATGTGTGTTAATGTTATTTTGCAGTAGTAATAAGTTACAATAAAATCCGAAGAATTATAAACCATAGTTTACAATAACCAATGAAAATTTTTTATTATTTTTTTTATAGAATAAGAATTTTATTGAGATTGTTTAATGGGAGGCTTGTTAACCGGGATAAACCGGAGCGTTGATATTCAGAATAATCTGTATTCCACTGGAGTGGCAAGGCGAGAGAGTACATATAATATATACCTGGAAAATCCTAGGGAACGGTCCCAAATCTGCACACAGAAATCACTCCCTACGATAGAAAAAGGTTCTTTACATTAGACTACGTGCAGTCAGCAGTAAAGCCTGGTTTGATCAGTCCCCTGATCCACCCGGGGCCTAGTAAAGGGAATGGGCCAGGGGGCGTTGACCCCTGGAACACCCTCCAGGCATACTCCAGGTAGAGAGTTGGTAGCCCAGATTAACTCATTGTTTTTGGTAACCCATTATTAGATTATAAGAGTGTCATAACCGGGAAAACCCTGAAGGTTGATAAGCAAGGAGTATTGACAGTCCGGGTTAACCAGGAGGGTTAACCAGTCTTTGGGGGTTGTTTCTACTGGTACCCTTTATCCCTACCCCAGAATGCAACCCCTAATGGATACCAACACCTAGATGCCTACTTACTGCTAGGTGAATAACACCCAAGCACCTACTTACCGCTAGGTGAATGGGGGCAGCAGGTGTATGGAGACCAATACACAGGTGCCTACTTACTACTAGGTGAACTGGGGGCATCAGGTGTAGTGTTCCGGGATCGAGCCCCGTTCTTTCCATTGTGAGCCGAAAACGCTTCTGTCTTTATTACCAACTATGAAAACTTCAAGAGGGAGGGTGGGGGTAATGCGCCAATCTTCCTGAAGGGTTCTTGATCTATGGAATTGGAGCTAAACTCACTATTCTTGGATCAAATCTGATTACGTTCCTTTCCTCAAGTTCTGTATGACTCCTACGAGTTTACTTTTCTCTAAGTACTCCGTTTAGTCATCACCATCAACATAATAATAATAATAATTACAATAATAATAATAATAATAATAATAATAATAATAATAATAATAATAATAATAATAAGACCTTGTACTGACACACTATGTGGGTTATGGCATTTTTTTGTGAAGGTGTTTCACCCACCAGCGACACTCACCCCAAACAGAGACAAGTAAAATGTGAGATTATATAGTGAGGTGTAGAGCAAGATCAGTAGCCAGGAGGCTAGGTTACATGGGAATGAATGAGGCTTGTGCTCTTTGATTCTTGTGTTTAAGTCCCAAGTAGGACTCCTCTCCATGTGCTCCTTGATTCTAATGTTTAAGTCTCACTTAAGACTCTTCTTTCCTAGTTCCTTGATTCTAGTGTTTAACTCCCATGTAGGACTCGTCTCTCCACATAGTTTTCCTCTCAGCTTCTGCAAGGGATGACGCTGACTCATCTTTGTGAGTAAACCAGCAAACACTTCTTCATACCTTGCGGAGTTTGAAATGAATCCTATGAGGGACTTAAATATAAGAATCCAGGATCAGAGAAATGGTTGTCAAACGGATGACACTAGTAATGGGTACACAGACCATCACAACACCTGTAACCACTCGACGAACTTCCGTGAAACTAGATTAGTTATCACTACCGATATCATTTCACGAAACTCGGGGTCTTTCACCAACTATGAGGGTTTAGCAAAATTGATTCTACACAGACCGACACTGAAAACAAACTACTTGATTGACAGTGAATTTGTAGATGGGTGAAAAAATAAAACAGTCAGGTAGCACCAGTCACTGAAACGAGGACTCTGGGTAACTTTAAAAATAGATTCGACAAATACTAAACTTGAGTGAGACTGGTTTCGTACGAGTAGTATCCGTTTAGCATAAATCAGTAGGTGTCTTGAAGCTCTCCTCTGTTCTTCTATTCCGGTATGTGATAGATTAAGCTACAGCACAGTTTTAGAATATAGACAGATCGGAAATTATAGCTAGGTCATCATTAAATTGATTTTAAAGCCTTTTGAATAGGACATACTTGTACGCGAGAAGAGGTACATGAGTGTTGTGGCATGCTAAGAGTACGTTATACTTTTGTGGAAAATACATACTGTATATATTTTCCAGAAATTCAGTATTTATATGTAAATAGATGGCCATACTGTATTTAATAATATTTATGTCATAGAAAATGGAAAGCCTGCGTCTGCACAGAGGAGACTCGCCATCTTGGTTTTGAATTGGATACAACGTTAGTGTAATGGGAAGGAATGTTCATGCTCTAGAGGTTAAAATTGGGCTGACACCTCTCAAATAGGAGGTGAAATTGTTGGACATGCATTCCTGCATAACTTAAGATATCAGACGACTGGACAAGACAGCTCCAGGAACCTCAGATTAGCTCTCTAGATTTATGTATAATTCTGGCCAGTGTTTTCATAAATTTAGTTAGTGAGGTTTTTCTGAGTATGATACAACTTAATATCCAGTCAATATGGTGAGTGATATTAAGATATATTTTCCTTCTGTTATGTAATTGTGTATATACATAACCATTTATTATTTTTAATATACAGTCCACAAATTTATATATTTACCAGTATTCCTGGTGTTTACCTGGAGAGGTGTATGTATATTTCATTTAATTAATAGGTCCAGAGCAACTTGTGGTTATGACAGTGGTAGGTATCGAAGGGGGACATTTTTTGCGACCTAGGTGTCCCAAATTCCTACTTGTCTATGTAACATTGATAAATAATAATTATCTTTGTTATCATTTACTGTTATGTACATAATTAGTTACATTCAGATAAATGCAATTTTCCAAAACTTTTGTGGAAAATACTGTATATATTTTCCAGAAATTCAGTATTTATGTGTAAATAGACGGCCTATACTGTATTTAATAATATTTGTCATAGAAAGTGGAAAGCCTGCGTCTGGGCAGGGGACTCGCCATCTTGGTTTTTGAATTTTGTACAAACGTTGGTGTAATGGGAAGAATTGTTCATGCTCTAGAGGTTAAAATTGTGTTGACACCTCTCAAATAGGAGGTGAAATTGGTGGATGTGCATTCCTGCATAACTTGAGATATCAGACGACTGGACAATACAGCTCCAGGAACCTCAGATAAGCTCTCAAGATTTGTGTGTAATTCTGGCCAGCATTATTTTTATAGATTTAGTTAGAGTGAGGTTTTCTGAGTATGATACACATTAATCTCCAGTCAAATTGGTGAGTGATATTAAGATATATTTTCCTTCTGTTATGTAATTGTGTATATATATAACCATTTATTATTTTTAAAATACAGTCCACAAATTTATATATTTACCAGTATTCCTGGTGTATGTATATTTCACTTAATTAATAGGTCCAGAGCAACTTATGGATATGACAGTGGTAGGTATCGAAGGGGGACATTTTTGCTACCTAGGTGTCCCAAATTCCTACTTGTCTATGTAACATTGATAAATAATAATTATCTTTGTTATCATTTACTGTTATGTACATAATTAGTTACATTCAGATAAATGCAATTTTCCACATTTAATTTGCCCATTGGTCCTTCGAACCGGATGCAATTAGTGAAGTCATTAATTAGTTAATTACTTAATAATTATATGTGAAATGACAGAAGGAGGTGGATGTTAAGTTCACAAATTTACATAATGTGTAGTGGATTATAATTATTCCAATATTAATTTTGATAAGTCAAGTCTGGCTAAGTTTATATTAATTGTATATTAATTTGATAAGACAATTCTGGCCAAGATTTACATCAGTGTATGAGTAATTGATAAGAAAAGTGTGTCTAAAGATTATATTGTGTATAATAATTTTGCTATGCCAAATTCTGGCAAGGATTTATTAATTTGTATAATATTAATTTTGATGAGCCAAGTTTGTATTAATGTACATTTAAAATTTATATTACAATTTTTTACATGTAATTGCTGAGCTCAAGTAGCTGGGATTTATTCAAAGGTAGGTTGTGTCAGTGTTATTGATTGGGTTGAATTTAATACATTGCATCATGGCTGAAAATGAGGAAATTGATGTAGAAGACAAGCATATGGAATATAGAATAAAGAAAGCATCAGTACAGGCTAGGAAAGTTCATGTAACAAAGGCATATAATAAGTTCTTGGAATTAATGAATCAAGAAACTGTGAATACTGATGATTTAAAATTGTATTTAGATGCTTTAGGTAATAGATATGATTCATGCAAATTATATTACAACAAATATGAAGGAGATTTGTTAGTAAACTGTGTAGATGAGACTGAAGTAGATCAGTATTATGAATTAGAGGAAAAGATCCTTTCTTGTAAAAGTCAGGCCTTGAATAAATTAAAATGTGTAAACCAGGCAGTTAATCAGTCTGCTCCAACAAAACTCCCAGAATTATGTTTACCTGTGTTTAATCCTGGAGAAAATTGGGAGGAGTTTTGGTCAATTTTTAAAGCAGCTCTTCATGATAGGAGTGACCTAGGCTGTGTAACTAAATTATTTTATCTCAAAGGAGAGGTAAGAGGAGATGCTCACATACTGATACAAGCCTTTCCCAATGTAGATGACTCTTACAAGGAAGCAGTTGACTTGTTGAAGGTCACTTATGATAATATAGAACAAAGTAGGTTGGATCTAGTGAATATCATTGTTAATTTAAAATCTCCAGATCACACTTACAAAGGTTTACAGCAGTTTAGAGTTAAACTGGAGAGCACTCTCAAAACTTTAAGTAATAAATATAATCTGAAGGAATCAGACTGGTTATTGAGTGCCATAGTACAGAATAAATTAAGCTGTAAAACACTTGAATGGCTCTCAAACAAATATCACAAGGGTTATTTTGGTCTGGAGGAAATAAGACTAGATCTACAAGAATTAATTGTGCAGTTGCAGACCAGCCAACTAACTCATTTTAAAGATGCAACACATAATAACTCTGAGGTATCTGTCAAGTTTCACAAAGGGAGAAATTATCCCAATAGTAATAATCAAAATTCGTTTCCTAAAAAGAGTTGCATAGGTGCATATCAAGTAGCAGGAATCAGAAATAATGATTCTCCACCATGTAAGAAGAATAAGTACCCTCCTAAGAGTAGCCCAGTTAATAAGAAACCAGTCAGAGAAAAGAGAGATTGTCTTTTCTGCAAGAGTACTCATTCATCTAAGAATTGCAATGCATACAATTCATGGAATGATAAAGTTGAAAGATTGGAGGAACTTGACAGATGTATCACGTGTTTGGGTAATCACAATGTAAAGGATTGTTATGCCAAATTAAACTTCTGTTATCAATGTCACAAAGGAAGACACCATATAGTCATGTGTAAGGGCCTATATGTTAATGTTGATAATAATGATAATGTTGACAATCCTGACTCAACAGTAGCTAATGTAAAAATTGCTGCTAATGTTAATAATGATGATTTTGTTGAAGTAGCCTTGCCTGTGTTACAGGTAAAAATTGATGATAAAAGGCATAAATCAAAAAATGTAAATACATTATTGGACCAGGGATCCCAGCGTACTTTCATAAAACGTAAATGTCTTGATGGTATGAAAGTACAGATGGGAGATCCCACAACTTTAAAATTATCTGCTTTTCTCTCGGATAAAAGGCCTCAATTGTATGACACTGTTTATGTAACTGTCAGGTTGGGCAATGAGAAAAAACGTGTTAATGCAGTAATTGTAGATAGACTTCCAGAGAAATATCTACAGAGGCTTAGTAAAGCTACAGAAAGACTCTCACATAATGTAAATTAGCACCTTCCTGGGGTAAGTGTGATTCTGTAGGCCCAATAAATATTTTGATAGGTTAGTGACTATTATGCTCCTTTGTAAAGGATTTGGTAAAGAAATGTGGTGTCACCCTTTTAAAAGACTGCGGAGGCCATGTAATGTTATGGTAGGATTCCTGTTATAATAATTTCATGAACTAGAGGAAACTACAAATACCTAACTTGTGTCTTACTCATGAAGTTCGTGCCCCGTAAAATTCTTCCATGGGAGGATGGTGTTGAGCCAGTGCATAAATTGTGGAATTAGACAGCATTGGAATAAATGTAAATGAAGAAAGTCCAGACGATTCCTTTACTCAGGAACAGTACCTGAGAGATGTAAAATTTGAATATGGACAATGCTGGGTACGACTTCCGTGGAGACTGAACCATCCAGAATTGCCCATTAATTACAGAATGGCATATGGACAGTTAAAGGCTCAGCTCCGCAAACTGAGTAAGACACCAGAATTGTTAACTGCCTGTAATGATATAATTGCTGAGCAGTTAATTAATAAATTTACAGAAGAGGTACCTTCTGAGCAATCAAAATTTATGGTCACTATTTGCCACATCACGGAGTGAAGAAGGATTCTGAGACCACTCCTTTGAGGATTGTGTTTAATTGTAGTGCCAGGAGTAACAAGAATGTACCTAGTTTAAATGACTGTTTGATGACAGGTCCGTCGTTGACGGAAAAATTAGGAGATACCTTATTAAATTTCAGAGTGAAGCATTATTTCCTTTAAAGCTGACATTTAAGTAAAGCTTTCCTAAGAGTGGGTTTACAAGAGGCTGACCGGGATTGTACCCGCTTCTTATGGCCTGAGAATCCTAGTGACCCACTTAGCCTTCTGAAAACCTTTCGCTTTAGGAGCCTATTATTTGGTGCTGCATCCAGTCCGTTCCTACTTCAAGTGACGATAAATGCACACCTTAAACGTATGGAAAGTCCATTGAGTAAAGTAATGAGCAAACAATTTTATGTGGACAATTTCCTGGGTGTGACGTCAACTGAAGAGGAACTGTTAATGACTTATGGAGAGGCTAATAAAATAATGCAAAGTGCAAATATGCCTCTGAGGGAATGGAATATAAATCGTCCAAATTAAAGGACAAAATAATGTAAAGATTTCCCTGGAGATGAAGTTTCCAAAATGTAGTAATGTATTGGGTTTTAAAATTTGGGGTACTGAGAGAGATTTGTTAATGATAAAACCTAATAATTACAGTATGGCCAATAAATTAACTAAGAGAGTTTTACTTGCTGAAGTTTCCAAATGTTTTGATCCACTAGGTTTTGTGTCACCCCTTACTATAAAAGGAAATTATTAATACAGGAAGTATGGAAACTTAAATGTGCTTGGGATGAAATTCTTCCTAAAGAATTCATTAACAGGTGGGATGAATTAATTGGTGATTATGAGAAAATTTCCCATGTTGGAGTTCCCACGCCAGGTGGCCAATCCAAATGGGAAAAAATGTACTCCACATTTTTTGTGATGCTTCAAAATTGGCATATGGAGCAGTTGCTTTTCCTTTAATGTAATAGTGTTATTTCTCTTGTTATGTCTAAGGCTAAAGAGTCTCCAATTAAATCACGTACCTTACCTCAGTTTTGGAATTAACAGCCATTTATGTAGGTGTCAAATTAGCTAATTATATAAGAAATAAGTTGCAGGAGATAAATATTACGACACTGTAATTTGGTCTGATAATGATGGGATCTTACAATGGATTCATATGGAAAACAGTAAAAATTGTGAACGACCAAAACAGAGTCTCTGAAATTAATCAGATGCAAGAGAAGTATAATAGTTTGGGTCAGCATATGTTACCTTTAATCATATACCTTGCGGGAAGGAGAATCAGCTGATTTTTGTCTCGAGGTTTACTTATGCTAAATTTGTAAATGCTGTATTATTGTCTTAAGGACCGAGTTTGGTTGGTAAATAAAGCTAATGGGGCCTGATACAAAATGATATATTGCTCCTGTTGAAATTACTGTGACCACGCTCCAATAGTATTTACCTTCCTTTGCCATTGTGATATAAGTAGGTGCTATTCTTCTTTACCCAAACTAATCAATGTATAACTAAATTGGTGTTTTAAATTTTCTAACAAGATGAATATTGCATTTAAGTTTTCATCCTCTTGAATATGGGATAAAAAAGGGTACAAGAGCAAATCTATGGAAATGGAGTATTATATTGATGATGGAAAAGAAAAATTTTGAAAGGTTCTATAATAGAGAAATTGGGGCGTATTTAGAGGAACAATGTTATTTTAAGTTGCAGAGGTTTGTTACAAAAGGCTGGAATTGGGGTGATTATGCTAAACACCCTATCTTACTGCCCAAACACTTCATCATCTAACATATTTGATTGTTCTAAATGCCATATAAATGTAATGCATGGTGGGTACAAGATACCTTAAATTGTATTAGGGAAACTTTCTGGACTCCATAAGGAGGCAAAGTGTAAAAGGCTGATTAAATCTTGTGTAATTGTTGCCCTGTGGATTGTAGATTCTATATAACCCAAGTCCTTCCACATTGTCAAATGAGAAATTTGAGTCATTTAGCAACGAAACTCGGCTGGCCGCAGTGTGGAAATTACTGTATATTATTTCCAGATATTCAGAATTTTATATGAATTAGAGGGCCTATACTGTATTTAATTTTATTTGTATTGAAAAGCGGAGAAGGAAAGCCTGCGTCGGGCTGGGGGGTACTCTCCATCTTGGTTTTTGAATTTTGTAAAAAACGTTGGTGTAATGGGTAAGAATTTTTGTGCTCTAGAGGTTAAAATTGTGTTGACACCTCTCAAATAGGAGGCGAAATTGGTGGATGTGCATTCCTACATAACTTGAGATATCAGACGACTGGACAAGACAGCTCCAGGAACCTCAGATACGATCTCTAGATTTGTGTGTTATTCGTCCAGCATTATTGTAATAGAGTAGTGAGGTGTGGGGTTTGTCTGCGTATGATACACATTAATCTCCAGTCAAATTGGTGAGTGATATTAAGATATATTTTCCATCTGTTATGTTATTGTGTATATGGAGTTTACCTGGAGAGAGTTCTGGGGGTCAACGCCCCCGTGGCCCGGCCAGTGACCAGGCCTCCTGGTGGATCAGAGCCTGATCAATCAGGCTGTTGCTGCATGCAAACCAATGTACGAGCCACAGCCCGGCTGGTCAGGAACCGACTTTAGGTGCTTGTCCAGTGCCAGCTTGAAGACTGCCAGGGGTCTGTTGGTAATCCCCCTTATGTATGCTGGGAGGCAGTTGAACAGTCTCGGGCCCCTGACACTTATTGTATGGTCTCTTAACGTGCTAGTGACACCCCTGCTTTTCATTGGGGGGGATGTTGTATCGTCTGCCAAGTCTTTTGCTTTCGTAGTGAGTGATTTTCGTGTGTAAGTTCGGTACTAGTCCCTCTAGGATTTTCCAGGTGTATATAATCATGTATCTCTCCCGCCTGCGTTCCAGGGAATATATATAACCATTTATTATTTTTAATATACAGTCACAAATTTATATATTTACCAGTTTTCCTGGTATATGTATATTTCATTTAATTAATAGGTCCAGAGCAACTTGTGGTTATGGCAGTGGTAGGTATCGAAGGGGGACATTTTTTGCGACCTAGGTGTCCCAAATTCCTACTTGTCTATGTAACATTGATAAATAATAATTATCTGTTATCATTTACTGTTATGTACATAATTGGTTACATTCAGATAAATGCAATTTTCCACAACTTTATTCGATATGTGTAACATACCCATACAGGCATACTCTCTGCCCAGCAAACCAGATGCTAGGAGTATAACAAGAGGGGCCCCCTTGTTATGCTAGCACCTTGGATCAACCCATCCAATTACAAGGACCACCAAAGTTATGAAATGATGTTGGAAGATTCGTGGAGCAACATTAGTGGACATACTCCAAGTCTGGTCGCCCACAGTTCTCTGTGTGTCTCTTCCATGCAAAACTTGCTGTGCACATGTTGTATATAAATTGTACATATACTTACATGCTGTTATGGTGAAAGAAATATATATAGGTATTTACTCACTGCTATCTTTGGCTCGTTCCTCATTTGTTATCACACAATTTGATATAAAGCTATCAGTACAATCTTTATCTTTATAGGAAGGGGATGTAAGAAATATTTTGATGGGAACTAGATGAGTGTGGTACTTGATGGAAGACGTTGTCTCTGCTTATTTGAGCCGTTGATGCATTCACTACTTCCATAATTTCTCCCCGTCATTATCGAGAAATTAGGAGTTACATTTTGATACGCACATACTGACAAAACATGAATAATTACACTTGGGGGACATTCACACAGATTGCCTCACACATGGACTTTGAACAGCATGGTAGAGGCATAAAATCATGATTGATCTAAATGCAGTTCAGTCACTGCGAGAACCGAAAAACGTATCCCCGATCACTGTTCAAGACTGAAGTTGAACACATTTCCAGGCTGAGGGACTGACCTCCTTTAACCACTTCAAAGTTGATGGACTGATCACATCATGTTTACCACTCTGCTGCTGCTGTCTCATATACATAACCTCTGTATTCGACTAATGAAGCAAAAACGTTTCGGTTTAAAGATCTTAATTGTTAGGTAAGACACATGCAACAGTTAAGTATTTTTATTTCGAAACGTTTCGCCTACACAGTAGGCTTCTTCAGTCGTGTACAGAGAAGTTGATAGAAGCAGAAGAGACTTGAAGACGATGTAATCAGTCCATCACCCTTGAAGTTTTGAGGTGGTCAGTCCCTCAGTCTGGAGAAGAGTATTGTTCCATAGTATGAAACAAAACTTCAAAACTTCAAGGGTGATGGACTGATTACATCGTCTTCAAGTCTCTTCTGCTTCTATCAACTTCTCTGTACACGACTGAAGAAGCCTACTGTGTAGGCGAAACGTTTCGAAATAAAGATACTAACTGTTGCATTCAC